TTTTTGTCCCAACAAGGCACAGTTCAGTTTTGTTATGGTTTAGTTGGAGGAAATTGTTAGAGAACCAGTTGTTGAGCTCACTGAGGCAGTCGGTAAGAGTGAAGGATGAGAAGGTGGAGTTTGGTTTTGTTGAAATGTAGAGCTGAGTGTCGTCGACATAAGAGTGGAAATGGACACCAAATTTACAGAAGATGTGGCCAAACGGGAGCAGATAAATTATGAAAAATAGAGGCCCGAGTACAGAACCTTGGGGAACACCAGTGGAAATGGGTGAAGACTGGGAGCAGAAGGACTTGAGCTGTATGAACTGAGTGTGGTCAGAAAGACAGGATTTAAACCAGTCCAGGGGGTGTCTGAGATGTCAATAGAGGTTAGTCATTCGATGAGGATAGGATGAGAGATGGTGTCAAAGGCAGAGCTCAGATCAAGGAGGATGAGTTTTGACAGAAGTCCTGAGTCAGCAGCAAGGAGAAGATCATCAGTCATTTTAATAAGAGCAGTTTCTGTGCTGTGATGTGGTACTTTTAAGACTTATCATTGACATTCCACAGCTGTATTTGACTTCATATGTTGTCACTATGTCACCTGGTGGATAAGTGACATATATTAACAAAATATGCAGTTTTCACCTTCAGCTGTTAACATTAACGTTGATCAATAACATTTATAGACCTCAGTTAGTGCTTCTAAATTTAGCCTAAAAATTTAGCAAATGCTAATCCACTAATAAATTTTAAAATTAGCAAAAGCCCTAAAACACTAATCAGGAAATTAGTTCCCCTATTAGTGCTTTAGGGCTTTATGGGCTCTGTGCTGATAATACCTGATGATATTGATGATACCTGATGTTAGCAGATAAGAAGATGACTATCAGTAGTGTGATCACACTGAACAGAACCAGACGGATCATCATCTCTAAACCCATTTTCTCACCTGATGAGAAGAACAAACCAGAGGAAAAATACATCACTTATACAATTTATAACATTTAAAACAATAAATATTTTGTTATGTTAGATAACTAAAGGAAGGAAGTAGCAAAAATAACATCAGAACCAAAAAAGACTCAACAGGAAAGAGAAGTAATGAATTAAGTTCTTAGGAACAGAAACTGACGTCATTTAGAGGAAGATTAAAGAAACACTCACCCTCCACCTGCAGGCTGAACGGCTCAGACTGGGACCAGCTGTTAGTCCTCACAGCACAGGTGTAGTTCCCAGAATGCTCTGCAGTCAGAGAGTTGAGCTGGAGGGCGGGGCCGGTCTCTGAGAGGGTGTGGCCATCTTTCATCCAGGTGATGTTCAGGTGGTAGAAAGTGCAGTGTAGACTGGTGCACTGCAGAGAGACTGACTGACCTCTGATGAACTCTGTCACATTACTGGAGCTTTTTATTCTCATCTTTGTCCCTTCTGAAATATAAAATATATTAGTTTTTAGTAAAACTTATTAAATTAACTGATTAATATCTGAGTTAGAATGATGTTCTCACCAACAACTGTGACTTTCATTCCTGTTGTGTTTGTAAAATGTCCATAAGTATCATTTACTTCCATCCTGAACCGATAAGTTTCTTCATCTGTCTCACTAACATCTCTGATCTGTAAGGTGCAGTTTCTCTCCTTGTCTCCCAGATACTCGTATCGAGGGTTGTTTATAGTTGAGTTACTGTCAAACACAGACGGGGTGTGACCCTGACAGATCAGACTGTTTTTACACCAGAGGACTCTGACGATCTTCAGAGGAATTTCTCCTCCATCTTTAAAAAAAGATTTTAATGGAGTGAAGCTGCAGGGCAGAGTGACCGTCGATCCTTTAACAGCACAGGTTGATGTA